TCCAGAAATGAAAGTTCTAAGATAGTCAGTCTACCTTCAAGACCGAAGGACTCTGAGAAAAGACATTTTTGTTGATATAACCATTCCACACACATCCTGTTCCAATGAAGTTGTTCTAGAATGTTCAGAAACCTGCCTGAGCTTATGTCAGTTGGTGATTTCTATTAACTTTAGCTGAAACTGTAATATAAATTATTCTTCAGGTGATTCCCATTTGTAAAAGAAAAAAAATCAATTTTCTTTTTTTTCTTTTTTTCTTTATGAGAAACTAATTTTCTCAGACAAAAAAATATTTAATATGTAAAAACCATTTAAAATATTTTTAAACATTCCAAGTAATCCTTAGAGGTGTTTTTCTGAACTATAGTTTGGATTCAAAGATCTTCTTCATCCTCCTAAATAAAAGGAATTTTTTTCATGGAAACCATGTGTTTTGACAATCTTGTTATCACTAGACAATGCCTTAGAGAGCAAATTGGGTACTGATTCCTGACTGCTGGGAAATACAGAGGAAACAGAAATTTGAAAAAAATTTCAAATCACCAACTTTACCTTTTAAAAATTATTCTCCCAAGTACTTGTAATCTGCTGTCTAACCATAACAAAGTTGTTTCTGTTAAATGTCAAGTAAATATGAATCTATCTTTAACTAGATTTGAGACTGTGATATTGACCTCCACAAACTGTATCTTAGAATGTATCGTCTAGGTATTACAGCTCCTTTAACTTTTCATTCATTTTCCCATTATCAAACATATTTTAGTGCCTACTATGTAGTCACACTATTTTAGATGCTGTGTATATGATGATGAACCAAAGACTTTTTTTTAATGTTTCAGGGTACATGTATAGGATGTACAGTTCATAGGTTTCTTACATAGGTGAACATGTGCCATAATGATTTGCTGCACCTATCAACCTATCACCTACATATTAAGCCCAGCATACATTAGCTATTTTTCCTAATGTAGTCCTTCAGCCTGCCCCACCTGACAGGCCCCAGTGTGTGTTGTTCACCCCTGTGTCTATGTGTTCACATTGTTCAACTCCTGCTTATAAGTGAGAACATGTGGCATTTGGTTTTCTATTCCTGCATTAGTTTGCTGAGGATAGTGACTTCCAGCTCCATCTGTGTCCCTGCAAAAGACAGGATTTCACTCCATTTTATGGCTGCATAGTATTCCATGGTGTGAATGTAACACATTTTTTTTATCCAGTCTATCATTCATGGGCATTTGGGTTGATTCCATGTCTTCGCTATTTTGGAATAGTGCTGCAGTAAACATACACATGCATGTGTCTTTATAATACAATGATTTATATTCTTTTGGGTATATACCCAGTAATGTGATTGCTGGGTTAAATGGTATTTCCAGTTTTAGATCCTTAAGGAATTGCCACACTGTATTCCACAATGGTTGAACTAATTTACAGTCTCACCAACCGTTTCTATTTCTCCACAGCCTCAACTGCATCTGCTGCTTCTTGAGTTTTCCATAATCACCATTCTGACTGACGTGAGATGTTGAGTTTTTTCATGTTTGTTTGGCCACATAAATGTCTTCTTTTGAGAAGTGTCTGTTCATGTCCTTTACCCACTTTTTAATGGAGTTGGTTTTTTTCTTGCAAATTTGTTTAAGTTCCTTGTAGATTCTGAATATTAGACCTTTGTCAGATAAATAGATTGCAAAATTTTTCTCCTATTCTGTAGGTTGTCTGTTCACTCTGATGATAGTTTCTTCTGCATAGAAGCTCTTTAGTTTAATTAGATCTCATTTGTCAATTTTTGCTTTTGCTGGAATTGTTTTTTATGTTTCATCATTAAATCTTTCCCCATGCCCATGTCCTGAATGGTATTGCCTGGACTTTCTTTTGGGTTTTTATAGCTTTGGGTTTTACATTTAAGTTGAACGAAAGACTCTTCTTCAGAAAGTGTAGAGTCTGTTAACTGAGATAATACTTGTAAATAAATAACCATGACAATGTAAAAAGTAACACGGAGCCTAAGCTAGGAATTGTCAACAGCTATGAAAGTTCAGAGACAGGCAATATTACAAATCAAGAAGAATTTGAGATGGCTTGCTCTGTGGAGGATGTTGGATTTGTCTTGAGTCTAAAAGATATTTAACAATGGAACATTTAGGGACAATCATGGCAAATACTCCAAAGAGAAGAGGAAAAAGAGACATCTAAAAACTGGGAGTCATGTGAGGTTCAACCCAAGTGGAAAAGTAAGTGGGGGATGGATTACAGAGTGTTTGAATACTTGACTAAAATGCCTGCCTATTCTTCAGTGTCCAGTAGGGAGCCAGCAAAAAGTTTTGGGCTTGATGATCTAGGCAATCATGTGTAACCCAGATTAGAGTGAGGGTAAACTGAAGGCAGAAAAGGGTTAGGCTTCTCTTTAAGAGGTAATGAAGGCCTAGAGTAGGGAAGTGTCAGTAATATCTATATATGCAGAAAGAATGCACAGGCAGATAACAGAAGCATGGCAACGCTTGGGACGTGGGTCACAGAAAAGAGAAGAATTAAGTATGACCCAAAGTTTTGAACTAGTATTCTGTAAAATAACAAAGAACACTAAAGCAGAATTCTCCAAAGCAGTCTTTCTACTTATCACCCCTCTTGGTCTCTGACTCCTCAAGACTTGCCCTGTACATGCTAAAAAGGAAGAAAGTAGGTACCCATTCCTGTATTGTTCAGTAAGTTGTGGTGAGGCAAGAGTTCTATGGCAACCATCTTGCCAGCTTCAGGAATTATTTGGCCCTGATAGTCACAGAACTCTAACCTGGTGTGGCTTATCTACATACCTTGGAAACAATAACCTGCTATGCTGCATAGCCCTTGCCTGCTTTGCAACCTCAGCGTGATCACTTTCTCCAACCCATAACTGATCTCCTTATAGCTCCTCAAACATAGCAAGCCTCTTTCCAATGCCAGAATCTTTGCACATGCCATTCCCTGGAACATCTTTCATGTCGCTTTCACATGTCTAGTTTTTTGTCTCTTTTTGGCCTTAGCTTAAATGTTGCCCCATCTAGAGACCTTACCTGACCACCTTTTCTAAAGAGCCCACTCTTTATTTTCTATCTGAGCATTTAGTTTCTTTCCTACTTAGTATTTATTAAAATGTGCAGCTATTTTATTTGTATACTTACTCAATATTTTTCGCATCTTCTTCTGACAAAATATTAGCTCCATAATAACATAAGCCACGCCTCTTTTCCTGGTCACTGTATCCCTAGCACCAAGAGCAGTGCTTGATACTTCATAGGAGATACTCAATAAGCAACTGTTGAATGAATTAGTAAATGAATGGATGAACTCACTTCTTCAGAAAGCTTTGTATAACCAAAAAATAGAATGCTGCATAATTCAATGAAATATAAAACGAGGCAATAATAGCTACTTTTCTTTTTTAATTTTCAAAGTAACCTCTTCCTATAAATGTACTTATAGAATTACTACAGTGATATCTGGGAAATTGCATATAAGTATTCTCCAGGATTTCTTAATTTCCATAAAAGCTCTGTAGTGCCACACTAGGTTGCAGTGTTTTTCAGCCTTATTAAAAATGAAATCAAACGGAGGATAGAATATAAAATACCAGCATGCATTGCATGCGGTAAGTATAGTTTAAAGAAACCTTTTTTATTGACACACAATAATTGCCCATATTTATGGCAAACAATGTGATGTTTTAATACATATATATTCTGTAAAAATTAAAACAGAATAGTATATCCATCACCTCATACATTTATTATTTCTTTGTGCCAAGAACATTCAAAATCCTCTCTTCTACCTATTTTGATATATAATATAATGTTGTTAACTAATAGTCATCCTACTATGCAGCAGAACACCAGAAATAATTCCTCCTATCAAACTGTAACTTTGTACCTGTTAACCAGTCTCCTCCTATCCTTCTTCCCCAGTCCCTCCCAAGCCTCTGATAACCACTATTTTACTCCATTTCTATGAGGTCAACTCCTTTAGAGTCCATGTATAAGTGAGATCATGTGATATCTGTCTTTCTGTGCCCGGCTTATTTCACTTAACATAATGTCCTCCAGGTTCATTCATGTTGCTGCAAATAAAAGAATTTCATTCTTTTGATGACTGAATAGTATATACTTATATAACATTTTCTTGATCCATTCATCTGTTGATAGACATTAGGTTGATTCTATATCTTGGCTATTGCGAAGAGTGCTGTAACAACCATGGGAGTTTAGATATCTCTTTGACATGCTGATTTTATTTCCTTTGGACGTATACCCAGTAGTGGGATTGCTGAATCATATTGTAGTTCTATTTTTTATTTTTTGAGAAACCTTCATAGTGTTTTCCATATAGCTGTACCAGTTTCCATTTCCACCAACAGTATATTATAGTTCCCCTTTCTCTATAGCTGTTCCAGAAAATTAAATGAAAAAAAAGAAAAGAAAAGAAAAAGCAGAAGGAGAGAAAATAAAACTTTTCTGTGGCAGGGGAGAAGGGGGATCCCAATATAAAAATATTTTTTATAGTGATTCAAAGTTGGTACACATTCTAGTGTTTACCATGTTATCCTTTTGTGGCTGCTGTCATAGCTCCTCAAAGCCAGCCTTGAACTGTTACTTTGCAGTGTTATGATTCCTTATGACCTATTTGTAATGGAAGTCTTCCCACAAATGCACCCAAAAATTCCATTTTTTAACATTTTCTCACAGATCAACCTACCTTAACCTCTTTTGGGATGCTCGGTCTCACTATAAAGTCAATTCCCAGAGTTCCATTCAATGTAGAGTGCTGGGCTGCTTTTAACTTAACCAGCAAAACACACACATGCACACACACACACACACACACACACACACGCAATCAGAGTGAAAGTGGTGAGATTTGCTGTTTTTTAAATCAAGAAAAATTTGAAACAATGATTTGATTGACAATTGAAACATTTGCTAAGTTAAAATTTGTTAACTTTTTTTCTTTTTTCTCTCTTTCTCTCCAAGCTGCCTGCCTTGTGCTTGGCTGTATGATTTTCCCTGATGGCTGGGACTCAGATGAAGTAAAGCGGATGTGTGGAGAAAAGACAGACAAGTACACTCTTGGGGCTTGCTCAGTCCGCTGGGCATACATCCTGGCTATTATTGGAATTTTGGATGCCCTGATCCTTTCGTTTCTCGCATTTGTGCTTGGAAATCGACAAGACAGCTTGATGGCAGAGGAACTGAAGGCAGAAAACAAAGGTAAGATTGCTTTAGGGAACTCTTAACTGGATGCCACAGGCACAAAAAATGATGCTCTCCGTTCTTTCCCATCAAATACTAGTGCTTCCCCTGTGATTCTAAATTGCTGCCTCTTTTAATACTGTGTAGTTTGCAGACTTTTCCCAGACTCAACTCAAGAAGCTTACACAACAAAAATATTATATTATACTTACTTATCTTTCTGAAGCTCCCTTAGTCCATAATTATTATTTTAAAGAATTTTTTTCCAGTCTCTTCTTTCCTTTTCCTCTGATGTCAGGTTTGCCATCTGAACTTAATGTAACTGTGGGTGGTGGCTACTTGATTGAATGAAAAGTACCTTCTATCCATGTATTCAGCTATGTTTCAGGTTGCAATAAATGCCTGGGGAATCTCTAAAATCATCTATATGCATCTTTATTAAAGTATTTGTGATCACTGAATTCAGACCCAACTTCTCAGAGAGTGGTAGTAACACTGGCCTCAAATAGTTACAGATAGAGATTTCAGTAGTTATCTAATTAGCTGAATTTTAAATGTGGTATTTGGGTAATCAAAAGTCCTCAGATTTCTTTTCAAAAAGAAGTTGCCTTCTGAAACACAAAGAAACCCAGGATAGAAAATAGGATGTTGACTATCGAATGATACATAAATATACTACAGTGTGCAAATAAGAGGTAGCAAGTTATTATTGAAGATTAATCTTTTAATTTTCTTTCCAGATTTCTACACCAATTTCTTGGGATAGAATTTTGATGTCTCTGTTATTTTAATAGACTTAGATTCGTTTAACAGTTTTATCTTTATGTTATCTATAACTTTAATACTGTGAACTTATACTAGCACCTTTAGCTGAGTGGCTCCTTCTTCTAGCTCTTATTTTTAATTGGGAGCTAAATCCATCCTTGAATTATGAAATTTAGCTTATTATTTCAAGTAGATACTAATTTCAAAAACCCTCCACTGCTTCAACAGGCCTCAAATATAAGCATATTTTGGTTTCTATATAAATGTCACATGTAATGATAGCATAGCAGGCTTTATATCCAGACCATCACTGTTGATGCAGGCAAACTATGACATAGAAGAAGTAAAATGGAGCAGTCCAGGAGAGCAGCAGTCATCCACAAACCCTTTATCTCCCTGATTTATAGACAGAACACATATTGGTTTACTTAGTTCTACCAAAATATTCTAAACACAAAAATAACCCTTACACAGGGGAGTAGTGCTGAAACTTCTTAAAAACAAAACTACCGCCTTCTCAGAGTTGCCCTTTCTAGATAGAAAGGGTGATGTGAAGATAATTACACTTTTATTTACATTACAGATTTTGTGCTTTCACATGCATTTTAATGTGATACCTTTGTTGTCTTTGTAGCTTATTGGATATAGGCAGTTTTCTGTCCAGTTAACTTTACTTCAAATGTAATGGTAAGGATAGTTCAATATTAAAACAAGTTATCTTTTTCAAAAGAATGAACTAAGGAAAAGCCTAGCTTGTTCTACAGATTCTTTATTTTTGCCAACACCTAAATGGACCTGTACAGTTCAAAGTTATATTGAAAACCTTTCCCTTTCCAGACATCTTTTGACCACAAATAAAGAGAATAAAATTCACAAGAAGGAAAACATAACAAAAGCAGGAATATTTTTACTTGGCAGTTGAGCATTCTAACTCATACTCACATATATGAGTGACAGTAATTATCCTGATTCATGCTTCAGAAAAGAACAGCTAGAGGTATAGAATAATGCTCAACAGTTTTCAAAATTGGTGTTTTCTTCTGGTTGATTAATTTATATGGTGATTTCTGATCCCTTTCAACTGAGTCTTCATTAAAGAAAGCATCATGTTCATTCAGTGATTTATTAAAATGCCTTGGTATATAAGTTTTGAAGAGAATGAAGGTTTAAAAAGGTCAATATAAGGTTTAGGGATTATCTTTGCATAATTTTCCTGTGTTCATCATCTTCTCCATTTGCATGTATGACTATAGTTTCTTCCATCTTGTTCTGAAGGAAAAAAATCAGTAGAGGTTCATCTGTTTCAAACCAGATAGATCCAATAAAGCAGTCAGAACATCAGGCCACGTTGATAAAACATTTCAGTTGCACCATATTTTTATTTTTCATTCAAAATTCTTTAATCTCAGACTCTGAGAAGATGTAAACAGCTCTATTATAGAGCATATCAGGCATTTATGCAATGGGATCTATACAAAATTAAATCAGGATTTCTAAGCCTTATATAAAATTTAGTCAAACCTACATGTTCCAGAGAAATGGTACAAGATTTATACTTGCTGTACAAAGTATCTTTTATTGTTTGGTATTATTTAAACACTTGCTAAACATTGAAACTTCTAAAGTCGATCGTTTGAGGAGAGACCAATCAGTGGTTTTGTATGTTGTGTGTATGAAGATAGTTTTGTTAAACAGTAGTTTAATGGTGTTCAGGTGCATGTAATAACCAAAACTAAATGTCATTAATGTTATCTTCTACAGATTATAAAGGAAGAGAGATTAGTTTTAATTAAAAAGATAAGAATAATTTGAAATCATGTAATTAATTATAAATAAATGGGTGCTCTTGCAATTTGCATGGATGCATTGATGTGACTTTTCACCCATTCAAACTTTTTTTTACTATTTTTTTGGCAGCTGTTCTTGTTTTGGATTTCACTATTAATTTTTTTTCTGATGAAACTACTGAGATGGTCGAGCGGCTGGTTAGCTCAATTGGTGAGCTCTTGGTGCTCAACTGCCCAAGGCCGCACGCTCGATTCCTGGCTGTGCACTCAAAACTACTGAGATGTACTATGGTAGCCAGGGTTTCCTTCTGGTTTCAAGTCAATGCAATGAGGCAGGCAAATCTAGCTCCAGCTCGGAATTTAGAAGAATTTATTAAGCACGTGAAGCCTTTCAGTATCATGGAAGAAGTCAGGGTCACATCTGAAGACTTTGTTCAACAGAGCAAAGTATTCATACATTCTGATAGAGATTACACATCTGATAGAGATACACACTGTAATGTCTTTTATAATCTTCCAGTTTTATCGTCGCTATGGTCTTGGCTCTGTGTCCACATCAAATCTCATCTTAAATTGTAATCCAAATTGTAATTTCCACCTGTTGGGAAAGAGACCTCATGGGAAGTGATTAGATCATGTGGGTGGTTTCCCCATGCTGTTCTCGTGATAGTGAGTTAAGTCTCATGAGATCTGATGGTTTTATGTGTCTGACATTTCCCCTGCTGGTACTTCTCTCTCCTGATGCCATGCGAAGGATGTATTTGCTTCCCTTTCCATCATGACTGTAAGTTTCCTGAGGTGTCCCCAGCCATGTGGAACTGTGAGTCAATTAAACCTCTTTCCTTTATAAATTACACAGTCTCAGGAAGTTCTTTATAGCAGTGTGAAAACGAACAAATGCAATGGTCTACCAATTATATCACTTAAATCCTGTAATGAGTAACAGGAGCATTATAGTGAGAATAAGCCTGCAAGTATAGAATATATCCCCAACATGAAGTTCTTCCTGAATGTCACTTTCATGTCATGATCATATCTTCTTTTTGTGGCCATTGTAATTAATGCAGCAACACATTTCCCCATTTATCTGGAAAGACCACTGTATTAGTCTGTTCTCATGCTGCTAATAAAGACATACCTGTAACTGGGTAATTTATAAAAGAAAGAGGTTTAATTGATTCATAGTTCCACATGGTTAGGGAGGTCTCACAATCATGGTAGAAGGCAAAGGAAGAGCAAAGTCACGTCTTACATGGTAGCAGGCAAGAGCTTGTGCAGGGAAACTCACATTTATAAAACCATCAGATTGTGTGAGACTTATTTATTATCATGACAATGGTGTGGGGGATACTGCCCCTGTGATTCAGTTATCTCCACCTGGCCCTCCCTTAACATGTGGGAATTATTACAGTTCAAGGGTGGGGACACAGCCAAACCATATCATCCACCATATAGATTCAGGCTTTCTAAGTGTCATTACAGCAAGGATATTGCTTAGATCCATGAGTGCTTTGCAACAATTCACCCTAATGGATACAACAAAAATCACTGTTACATGAATTCTAACATATATAAGGGAAGGGGGAAAACTCAGTTCTAATTGTTGAACTTGCTCTACTCGCAGAGTCTGAAGATGAAAGGGAATATAAGATGCTGCTAAGCCATAAATTAATCATCACAAAAGTGCTATTCAACAGGAAAACAAGAAAGGGGTACACACAGCTAAAAGTCTCCACTACTACAGACCACTTTTTCCTATGACACATTTCCAGTCAACTAGCCCCAATCCTCATTTCAGTGTTCACCTTCAATGCCTCCCACATGCCTTGAGTTTCTCCCTTCCACGAGATCATTTAAAAGAAGTCACAGACAAGATTTATCATAAATTCTAAAGTGGGAAAATTAAAGGAATTTTAACATACTTGTTAACATACTTTCATGAAACACAAGGCAACAATTTTGAAAATATAACTGTTGTCTTAAAGGAAACCTTTATAAGAGATAAACTTAATCATCTATGGAGCTCCACAGAAGTGTCAGAATATTTCTATGTGCCAAAAAAAAAAGCCCCACTGAAAAACAAAAGTGAAACATTTTTAAATATCTAACTAACTCAATTTTTGTTTGTTTTTATTTTTTGTTGTTGTTGTTAGAGACAGTCTGACTCTGTTGCCTAAGACAGAGGGCACTGATACAATTATAGCTTACTATAGCCTTGAACTCCTGGTCTTAAGTGATCCTCCTGCCTTAGCCTCTGGAGTAGCTAGGACTACAAGTGTGTGCCATCATACCCTGCTACATTTTCGTGTGTTGGAGAGGGATTTTTTTTTTGTAGAGACATGGTTCCCAGGCTGGCCTTGAACTCCTGGCTTTAAGGGATCCTCCTACGTTGGCCTCCCAAAGCAACAGGATTACAAGTGTGAGCTGCAGTGCCCAGTCCCAACTAACTTTATAGAGGACCTGGCA